CCGAATCTTTGGCTCTTGGCCCTTTATCACTCTCCACTCGTACCCCAGGATTAGCTGAGTCAAGATCACTTTGATCTCGGCCGCGGCGAGAAACCTGCCCGGGCATGCGTGATTGCCGTGTCCGAACCCCAGGAGGTTAATGCTGGTCGTTACGAGCTGGGCAACGTTTTCCTTCCCGGGAGTCTGTCGCATCTTCAGGAAGCGGTCCCCGACGAAGGTATGCGGCTCAGGGTAAATGCTCGAGTCCCAGTGACGCTCTGCTGAGACGCCAATGACAGTGCCTTCTGGCAATATCACGCCGTCTGGAAGAGTCATCTCCTCGGTGACTTCGCGGGGCATGGCAACTATGTAACAACGTGGCTTGTCAGCAACCCTCTCCTGAAGACTATGCGAACCTGTCTTGACACAACTTACCAGTGAGAATGGGCTTGATCCTCATGCTTTCCTTGATGACGCTGTCAAGTAGCTTCAAATTGTAGAGGGACGTCTTGGACCATCCCGATTCCCCGATCACTTCCTTTGCCTCCTCTCTCAGGCGCTGCACCATCTCAGGATCACCGGCAAGATCGTAGACCACTTGAGAAAGAAGATCGGTCGTGTTATGCACGGAGGCAATCGAAAGGCCAAGTTGAAGATCCGCGCGATCAAACTTGCGACCATTCGAATAAGTGTCCGACCACTCAATACTGTCATTGTACTCTGTGGGAGTCTCGCCCTTCGCAATGGCTGCCGCTTCCTCTTGTTTTCGCTTCTCAATGACAGGGCGGATCAGACTTCGGGCCTGCTCCACTTGGGAGCGAAGCTTGCGGCAAGGAGGCAGAAACCAGTGAACAAAGGGTCTCATGAATGCTGGGAACATTCTCAGACTCAGAGCTGCCAGGAAGCCAGTCATGATGTGACTGACGGCAATGTTGAGCCACGCCGGGTCACGGCACAGCTCTTCACCGAGGAACACGCGCCCAGAGACACGAGCAACAAGCAGATTCAGACGCTGCTTGATTGGAACTTTCTGCCATTCTGTATAAGTGTTAGTCCACTGTTCTAAAGCCAATGAAGTTCTGCATCCCATGAAAGCATTCTTACCGTCGCTGTGGGGTATCTGCAGAATATCCTCAATGGCCATCTCGGACTCAGCCGGCAGAGGCTCTATAACACTCGCTGGAGACTGGTAAGCTAATGTTTCTTAGAGTCTCATATCTTTGTACATACCAAGCTCCCTTGTCAACTTGTATTTGCACATATCCAAGACGACGGGCAGGTCGTTCAGACCGCTTGCAAAACCCTCGAAACCGGGGATTTCATGAGAAACAAACTGAAACAACTCTTAGAACATAATCGTCAAGAAGTACAGAGAGTAGAAGATACCTGGGCCACGACCTTCCCAAAGTCCAGTCTCTTGTCATTTCTGATATCCTCTGCGTAGGGGGGAGGCAAGACGGTAAGTGTTCTTCCAGGACCAACGATGCGGAAGGGTTTGCCATTGGCTTGCTTAATTGCGCGCCCAAGGGCCTTTCTGCCATCGAGATAAAAGCTGAATTTGGGCTTGAGGTTGAACACGTCCCACCATTTCCCCTGGTCAAGTATGGGAAGACTGGTGACTGAGACTTTGCCAGCTCTTCTGCGCCGTTCGACGACTGCTTTGTAACTGAAGTAAAACAAGATAGTCGCAAGTATGCACCCGTACAACGACGTGTTGGACGCCATCGTTGGCGGTTGTTCGATATTTTGCTTCCAGTCACTTGCTCAGAAAGTAAAAGGTGACCACTGCAATGAGGTTCAGGGCGGACTTGTGATCGAATGACATGAATAGCCCCTACTAGTACTCGATTTAGGCCGCTTCAAGGGTCCTAGCAGTCGAAGTGCTCCAACAAGTGTTCACCGGTGGCGCCCCACTTCGCGGTGTTCTGGGATTGAGGCCTGGTCTCTCAACCTTGCGGCATAGACGCATCTAAGGATCGCTCTTTGCGTGCTGTTGTCCCAGCTTTGTTTGAGCAGAATGTTTCCCTGTATGTACCCATAGTACTTCCCCTGTATGATGTATCGGCCGCCTGTTTCTCTAGTCAGTGGTTTTGCGGACTTTGTTGTCTTATCTGCAAAGGACCCTCGTCCCTTGCAAGATCACCATGACATTCGGTATTGCCCCATCCACGCCTTTGCTCGAGTTTATTGCACCCACAGATTGCAAGGCTCCACTAAGCTGGGCGTGATCAATGGAACCCTTTCAATTGCTAAGCACGAGAGCTGATGTCCAACTCGGACGAACTACGTCTTCATACGCGATTCAGCAGGGCTATGCCAGCGACTCATTCGTACAGTGCAAGCTACATCAGGTAGCACTGCAAAATGCAAGGGCTTGAAGAATGCACCCCTAACACAGTATCAACTACAAATGGGTTCCGAAAGCCCAGCGAGACACCAAATCTTATCCTCCCACCGGCATTATCCTTACTTCAACCCCTCGAAACGGGGGAGCAGAAAATCTCGCGGACTACTCCGCATGCCGCTTAGTGTTGTGCGTTGATCGCAAAGTACCTTGGGGCTCAGTCCGTTGACTGCACGTGCTCTAGCCTCTGTGACACTGGATGAACGCAAGCAAGCTCCCCACGTGGGTGGAGTTCGGGTGGCAGACGAGCTGGAGGTCCAGGTTTGCGTTTATGGGAATTTCTGGATGTTTGACCATCTATTACGTCTTTTCGAAATGATCCCAATGGGCTCCTGGAGATGAAATCACAATCCCAATACCCATAGAGGCTCATCCAAGCTCCAAATATTCAACTGTAGTAGTTGGGTGGAGCGGATTTGACGGCCATTGAGCAGACGAAGTGCTGTACTGAACGATGAGATGGCCGTACGAAAGGTGTCCAAATGCAAAATTTGTGGTCTTACGGCAGGAAGCTAGCGGGCAATCGACAACTGTCATCGAAGAGCCTCTTCGTGCAAGAATCGTTCTGTGACTAGGGCGCCTTGCAGAGTTGGGAGTGCAACCACTACAGGCCATGTATCTTCCTTCAGCTCCCAACTCTCACAGAGTGACCACCGGCAAGACGGGGAAGGTAATCAAGAAGGGGAGCCGCGCGTTGCTTCTAGTGCATGGCCTTTGGCTCTCGGTGATGAAACGAAGGAACAACAGCAAATGCAGGTAGTCAATCAAAGTTTCTACAGGTGCATTCTTGTCTAGATACCCTTAACCAATCAAATATTCGCATTGAACGAAACAGGTAGGAGAAAATCAAAATTTCCAACCTGGTCTCAGGAGTAAAGGGCGGATGCTCTGCCAACCGAATACTCAGCCGGCATCTTCGGCCATGGTCCAGACGGTCCAGATAAATCAAGACCATCGAGCCAGGCGCAAAACCATGCAAATACTAGGATGCTAGAGATGCCACGTATCCCGGCGTAGTGTATGGACACTGAGGTGTTCGTTAGTCTTGTGCCGACGGTTTGGCAGGATATAATACAGTATACCACGGAATAGGACTGAGTTTTGCTAATTTGAGGAGAGCATCTCAAGAGGGCACAGGTCCATGACCGGGGTGACACGACTAGCTGCAACTTTGTCCTAAGCTCAACACAGAATAAGCTTAATTGAAAACGCAAGGTTTGAATGTTCTCGGTGTGGTTCTCGTAGGCATGTCCGTAATTTCTCGGCCATTGGCACCTGCGCCCTGTATGCCCCGGACACCAGGGTCTTTTGCCTGAGAAACACCTCATATCAGGCCGAGATACGTAGCAGGTAATAAGAGCTCTCGGGTTGAGAGTGACGGGTTGCGTAAATCGAACAAAAGTAAGGGTAGGTAGTCGCATATGGCGATGTCCAGAACGGAGGCTGTCAGCGTAGTGCTTGAGGCGTCCGTGGTTGTCTCGCATGTGAATGTTGCGCTGCCAGTGTTGGTTTAGTTCCAGTCTAGTCTGATTGCGAACCAACAATTGTTCACAGGCTCCATGACTATAACAAGTTGACGCAGTAAGGTACAACGACTGATCGCATGTGTATATCATCTCTGTGTCTCATCTTGAATGTGACTCAAGACCAGAACATGGAAATGTTTATCACAACAGTTCAAAGGCCTTCTCAGCCGCTCTTCTCTCTCGCCTCATCTCATTCTCAAGATCGACCATTCAACTTTCGACGTCTTCGCTTTTGCCTCCGTCACTTTCCGATACCTCAACGACATGAGATTGTTCAACTACAGAGTCTTTCGGCTATGAGCTACGTTGTGTCTCGCAATATCTAGGTTCTGCAATTCACGATGTCTTTGAGAGGACATACAAACACTTGCGGAAGCAACGACGTCGAGTTGATTACCCAGCTCGGTGCTCTCCTTGACCAAGGGGACCCCGGATAAGTGAATAGCGAAACCGAGACGATCCAAAGAAATACGAATTGTCCGATGACGTCGTCATAGCGGAGGCAGACCGATTACATTAAATGAGGCTCCCCAGAAGCAAGTGGTAAATGCTGATCTGTGACCTGTGGACCCTTGGAGCTGCAAGCGCGCGAAGACTGAGGTCGGAAATTGCAGAATTCGTGCTTGTGGAGATGCTCGAAGCTTTCTGGTGAGGCTCTCCGCTGTCTGTATGCGATACTTCAAGATAAATTAAGCGCCGAGTCATATGTAGAACCCATGACTCGTCGTTCAGTGCGTAGGCTCGCTAGGTACTACGTTGGTACCGCTGAACTTAAACTTGTCCCGTTCTAACCGGCTTCTACATTTTTGAGCAAGAGCCTCGCTTTGTCACACAACATTATTCCGTGTAGAGTTGAGCTAATGCCCTTTTCGCGCGGTGTCTGGTGAGCCTGCCTTCTTGCCGCTGTTGAGGCCCTGCGAGTCACCGTACCACTTCGTTCTACCATCGTCACTTTCGAGGCATGGGTCAAGTCAAACATTGCAACGAATCGAGGCATCATCTACAACACGTTGTAATAGAACATGTTAGGTAAGCTAGGAGGTTGTCTTGATGCATGGCCGTTAAGCTGGGTCACAATCTCTATCATCAACTTATATCCAAGTCCAGATCCACTTTTCAAGGGCCTGGTTAAATCTTTCCGGGGCAACTTTCATGATCCAATGTCCAACGCTTATGACTTCAACCGTGTCAAATTCATCATCAATACCAGCCGCATCTTCAACCTCCTTGCCCGCTTCCGTATTGCTCAAAACCAGCCTCGGAATACCTGCGATTTTCTTTGGTCTCAGATAATCCATACCACTCAGCCCTTGCGCATCACTCATCTGAACCCACGCAGCATTCATCGCCATCTCATCAATGCCCCATGTACGCAGCTTGTGCCATTCTTTGATATAATCCGGCGTGTCTGCAGGATATATAACCTCGTTCTCCCAGAACGCGATCACAGCGCTGTCGAAGTCCTCTTCGAGGGCAGGTATAAGCCCCTCGGTTACCTCAGGAGTCAGGTAATATGACGGGTCAACTATCACCTGCCCAAGAATGAGGTCTGGGTAGCCATGAACTAGCTCAGTAACAACAGTGCCGCCTAGGCTGTGACCCACGACGATGGCTTTGTTGGAGGCGCTTACACCTAGGTGTTTCAGGAGAGCGGCAGCGTCGTCGGCCATAGTGACTGGGTTCATGACCAGACTACATGATTGAGACAAGGTGCTGCGGCCGTGGCCTCGGAGGTCCATGGTAACAACATTGAAGAGCCACAGAAGCACAAGAAACATGGTTTGAAAGGCCCAATCGGTCTGGTCGGCAGCCCAGCCATGGATCAACAAAAAGGGGATACCAGTCGCATTGCCCTGCGTCGTGAAGAAGATATCCGTGGAATTGAGAGAAAGAACTGCACCGCCGGCCATTGCAGGTCCGATATGCAGAAGACAGTCTACCGTGGGTTCTGCGAATTTACCTGGTAGGGCGTTGACTTAACGACTTAGACGTTGTCGGTCGATGCGAAGTAGATTCCTTTCATATAATGACCATGTACACCTGCACGCGAATGGTGATGAGATACGTCATCAGGCCTGGTGTGGAATGTCAGCTACATCGGCAATTAGGTCTCGACTTGTCTGCCTATGCAACCGGTAAGCAAGAAGCGGGCCTGCGTATGAAGAACGTACTGAATTGAGGCTAGTGAACCTGCATTCTTATGCCGCTAATACCTTGATATGTCCTTCAAGCATGCTTCCTTCTCGTATTCTATAAAGCCAGTGTTTCCTTCTTAGGAAGGATTGCCTTCTTGGGGCCGGAAGTCCTTGATGGATCACGTTGTATCAGCGGAGAAGATTGACAGTTACGTCAGCGGCGTTCGTTCTTATCATATGTCGCCACTTTTATTGGATAGACGGTGTCGATTCGATGCAGTACACTTGACGCTCATCAATTAAAAGGTGATAGTTGGGCTTGATGAAGGCTTCTTTGGCGTACTAAGCAAACTCTCAGTAAAACGTCCGTTTTTCGAACAAACTAGACCCCAAGGCATGGGTTAATCGAGTATGCTGCCACGCGATTCACTCAAGAATTGTCACTTTTGTCGTGTGGTTTACTTTGAATCTTGTGATCATAAATAATCTCTAAACCACTGGAAGTGGAACGCGGGCTTAAAATTGACTTGATGCATGGTCTTGTTACACCTTTTGGCATGAGAAGGAGCATTCAGCGCCTGCTACGATGATTGAGCTCGGTGCCGGAACCCAGTCAGGCACGTTCTTGCACTGAATCTCAGGCCCGTACACACCATCGATGATGCCCGACAGGCTGGCGCACGCCTGAATGCGGTCGTCGAAGAATTGCTGAAAGGTGATTTGGCTGAAGCAATCGTTGTAGTCGATGTGGCAGTATTTCGCCATACACCCAGCGGCCAGCGCTGGCAGGAGAGAAATAGAAGAGAACTTCACTAGATTCCGCCAAAACCAGTTAGACAACCTAGAGCAAAGCGATGTACTTGAAGTTGACCACTTACTGATGTTCAAACTCGGGAGGTAACGCGAGGAGGAAAATGTTCACTGCAAACTCGTTTCAAAGCTGCGCTGTAGAGGTCGCCAAGTGTTTTGAAAGGACTGGTAAAAGTAATATTGAGTGACGAAATTGAATGCAACGGAATAGTGCTGAGACAGCTATTTTATGGCTTCACCCGGATCTTACGGAGGTTCGAACAAAACGCTTAGCCGTTCGTACTTTTCAAATTAGACTGTCTTTGTCATTAATAAACTAGATAATATAGTTTACTAGGTAGTTCAGTTGTCAATTAACTGTAATCATGGGTTGTACCCCGAGCGTTCCTGAAATTTTAGAGTTCAACCAATTCGCTGGGTAAGACTTCTTGCGAGATGATCCACCTCTGCAAAACGACAATGAGGGGAAGGTGCAAAACAAAGACGTGGAATGCGGCATGCCGATTTAGGTTTCACGTGGTGCATCCACTGTCAATTGAATTAGATGATCGAACACAAGTTCATAACATGGACCGACTGTTCTCTTGCAAAGTTAAGGTCGTGCGGTAGACCCGCAATTTGCTTTGAGTTCTGAACCAGCCCAGACAGGTTGAGAACTAGCTCAGTTGGCTCACGATGTGCAAGGTAGATCCAGATTTCAATAATTTATGAACAGAATCTCATGTCCGACTGATCCGATTGAAGTCCACGACATTGTGCACCTCACACGAGCTATAAAAATTGAACTCGGTGCTCAGTTTCCACAAGTGTTGAGGTTCGTATGCGCCAGATTCTACGATCTCCTTCAGCCTATTCAACGCTCTGCACTACGGTCATATCTCTGTCCCACAAATTTTCTCCATTATCGCAATGTCAGTTCAAAAGAACTTTCTAGCCCTGGCGCTGGCTTACGTTTTCCTGTTTCTGTCCTGCGCCTCCGCGAGCCCCTTACCCATTTCGCCCGATGACGCGGTCAACCTCAAATCGCGTCAATCCGTGTGTCGACCAATTGTCGGCTGCGTCCCATTCTTCAATGCACCCACTTGGAACAGCTTCGAGCTGACCATCCCTGCACCTGGCGACCCCCTCACACAGGAAGGCCGCTCGGCCGGAGGAGAAGTCGAAGCTTCTGTCTGGAACCGTGCTGATGGCTCCGCCTTCCTTGGAATCCATCTCAGTGAAGATTACGACCTTCCTGCGCATGCCGAGATGCAAATTCAAGCCCGGTTCCGTAACACCGATATCAGACTCAACCGCGCCTCCATTGACCTCGAAGGACAGGGCGCGCTTAGGACAATTCCTGCCGCTTCAATTACCGAGTGGAGGCAGGGTAACCAAGTGGGCAACACCATTACTCTTACAATCAGATGGAGGCTTCAACAGGATCTCTAGAGGCCATAGATCAGGTTCAGGCGCCACAGGTTCCACGAAATGAGACCTTCGCAATTTATTGTATCGTGATTCTGCCGATTTTGAGGACGACTATCACAAGAGGGGTACAGGAAGGGATAATTTGAATCTGAGTACAGAGTTCAAGGTACTTATCATATTAATTTTATAACGTCCCACACCCACTTCTCAGCTACCCCTACATTTCAGCTACCCACTTTTAATACCCTTATATTTATATATATTAACTTTAACTAATATTTATATATATTATAGTACTATAACGATATAACTTTTACTATTACTAAAGTTTTTAAACTTACTAGATTTATTTCTATTACTTTTAAGTTTACTTACTTTAATTTAAGTTTTCTAAATAGCTTTAATATTAGTAAATTTCAAATTTAAGTTTATTTTAACTTTCTTCTATTTCCTAACTTTACTAATATTAATTTCTACTTATAATACTTTAATCTTTTACTAAACTACTACTAATTAGTATACTTTTTTAGGGGAATCTTATTGCACACCCCCACCCTGCCTACTGTTATATCCCTCTGTGGCTAAGGCAGTCGCACTGCTAGTTAGTGACAATTGCCCACCTCTCCACTTACTAACTTTTAGCCGCGCCTGCCTAGTACCCAGTTACACCTGCCCTGCTAGTTGCGCTTGCCCTGCTAGTTACGCCTACCCACCTAGCTTACTAGTAGTACTAGCCCTACTTAGCAGGCGCGCCCAGTGAGGAGGGTCAGTAGGGCTAGTATAGCAGGTAGGGCTAGTACAGCAGGTAGGGCTAGTACGGCAGGTAGGGCTAGTATAGCAGCAAGCCAGGTGGGCAAGCGCGACTGTAGAACAACTAAGTAAGCAGGCGTAACTGAAAAAGCTAGCACCTAGCAGTACGCCTGCCTTAGCTATAGAGGGATGTAGCAGTGGGCGGGGTGGGGGTGTGCAATAAGAGTCCCCCTTTTTTATTAAAACTTTTCTAAACTTTCTAAAAAAGTAAATACTATATATACTTATTATTATTTAGTTTACTAAATAGATTAAATTAATCTTAAAACTTATCCCTCTTTTTAAAAGTTAACTAAAAGATTATTAATATATCTATTACTTATTTTTTATTTTCCTTATTATTAAAGAGCTTTTTATAAACCTAATTAGTTAGTTTAATAAGAGTTAAAATATTCTTAAGTAGTAGAAAGCTTATAAGAGGTTTAGCTATACTAATAAACTATAAACTAATCTATTTCTAGCTACTAATAATATTCTTATTTATTAAAGCTACTTTATATACCTTATTATAGTATATAATAAAATTTCTCTTATTTATAACTATATTAGTATCTTATTTAGCTAGTAATTTAAGCTCCTTCTTATATACTACTTTAAGAAGTTTAAAAACTAACTAATTAAATAGCTAAAAGATATATAATATATATACTAATAAGAATAATAAATATATCTTATTTTTAAAGTATATATATATAAAAGTAGTAATTTTATAGTTTTTATAACTATTTAAGATTAATAATCTAACTTCTAAGAGGTTTTCTAGCTAAATTAAAAAGATAAAAACCTCTATTAACTACTTAATAGCTATAAAATCTAAAGTCTACTTATTTTTTATAGCTATAAACTTTTAAGATTTATATAATATTAGATCTAAAAAGAACTACTACTACTAAATATTCTTACTTTTATATATAATAAATAGAAGTAATACTTTACTAATTATAAAGATATACTTAATTAGAGATATTTAAGTATATAATCTAAGCTATTTCTTATAGATAAAATAAGTTTCTAATAATCTAAAAATAAACCTATTTAATCCTCTACTTTTTAGAATATTAATCTTATTTATATTATATTAATTAGAAGCTTTAATAGCTATAATCTTAAGTATAATAAGATATTTAAACTATTACTTAATTATATTAGTTAAAGTTCTATTAATATACTAAAAATTAATTACTCTATTTCTTTAAACTTTTATAAATAAGTTTCTCTTAATAAAAGATTATACTTAATTCTTTCTAAAAAGCTAGAAATCTCTATAAACCTATAGAATATATTTAGTAAAATCTTTAAGTTATTAATAAATTAGAAATAAGTTTAAAGTAGCCTAAATCTAAACCTATTTAGCTAAGTAGTTTTCTTAAGTTAGAGAAAACTTTTATAAATTAGAAAAAGTAATATCTCTTACTTAAGTACTATAAATTTAAATTTAAAATATTATTCTAAGAATATTATACTATAATAAAACTTTTTATAAACTAATACTAGCTATAATAGCTTTAAATACTTAAGAAACTTTATCCTCTATATACTAATATATTTAGTAGTTATTATACTTTATAAAAAGAATAATAATAATTAAATAAAAATTAGTAAAGTTATTTAAGTTTAAAAATAGTAATAAGCATTTTCGATAAGGCATTTTAGGGTAGCTGAAATGTAGGGGTAGCTGAGAAGTAGGTGTGGGATGTTACCTATCTCCTAATAATAGAAAGAGATTATACACTATAACTAAACTTAATAAAAGTCGAGTGTCGCCTACTTCATAAGGACATATTCAAGTTGCTAATTACATTTAAAATACTAACTCAAAGTCTTAACACTTCCTCACCACAAAATCAAATACCCTAAATGCTAGCCGCTGCACGAGGAGTGAATCTGACCAGAAGTCCTGACTGTTTTGCAAACCAAAACGTCTTGACTTTCCATTCTGACTCGGTCGATGCCCACACTAAGTCGAACTGGCGAAGGATCTGGGGCACAAACTTGCCGACTTCCATGATAGAAATGTTTTTCCCGATGCACGTTCTTGCGCCCGCTCCAAACTTTAGTCAGCGATTTCATATATTAGCAGTGCCCTTGATCAGATGATACCAGATTTGTGGCGTTGAAGTATGCAACGATGAAGATAAGAAATGAAGGATCTAGGGAGGCAGTAAACGCGTATAAACACAAGGTAGCGCTGCGACTTACGGTCAATAAGTGCCGGTCCATGTTCTTGGCCTGCTCCTCAGGGCAGAGCCACCGCTCGGGTCGAAACTCGTCGGCATCTTCACCAAATATTTCGTAGTTACGATGGATGACTGCTGCGTTCATGCCTACAATCGTTCCCGCTGGGAGCTGTACTCCGCATAGCTCAACTCCACCTTCGGGCACTATACGCTCAAGGGGATATGATACACCGGGGTGCATTCGCATGGCTTCTTTGATACATAATTGCCTTTTGAAATCGTGTTAGTGTTCATCCATATGTGCTTAGCTGCCTGATGAAAGCATCTCAACGCTCACAAGTATTCAAGTTCCAGGCTCTCGCTGTACTGCACAACAGGGGACAGCTTTCCGTCCCTGTCGGCCTTATCGATTTCGTGTTGCAGCGTTTGATACGCGTTTCTATTCTTCAGGAGGTAGTAGAATACAGCGCGGAGAGAAATAGCCGTAGTATCACTTCCAGCTAGACTAGGCTTGTTAGGAGAACGCGCCTACAACCCAAAGAATATGTCGGGCGCCGAGAACTTACAGATTGTTCATCAAGTGGTTCATAAGCTCCCACGTACTCATTATGGTGCCGGTGGACTTCTGCTGCTGTCGCAAGTATGCTAGGAAGTCTCGTCTATGAGTAGTGTCTGCCTCTTCGGCGTCGTACTCCTTGATGCCTCCCAACACCATCTACCCAGATAATAAGCCAAACAAGCCTCGCAAATAAGTGGTCAAGACCACTATCGCCTAAGTCTGACATACCTTTGTGGAAGTCGCGATGGGATCTCTCGAGAAGGGGACTAGTTTAGCAAAGATTCTCCTGAGTATTAGGTTCCCGAGGAGAAGCGGATGAAGAGATGGAACCTGCCCAACCCGACCGACATAGACAAGTCCAAACTCGATACCTGCAATCATGCCCTTGATGTCTTTGCGTTCTTCCATGAAACCGAATCTTCGAGCAAAGGAGATGGCGCCGATCACGTCAAAGGCGTACCATTGAACCCAGGTTCCGAGGTCGACAACCTGTCCCTGCATGTCCAACATGGCGTCGGTGAAAATCTGGCTGCAGGGGTCCACCAGATACTCAAGTGTTCGGATCGAGCTCATGGAGAACTTCTGAGCAACCGGCCGCTTCAGTGCCTTGTGCTCTTCGGGATCGGTGGTGGAGAACATGCTAGGCATGTTTTTGCCCTCGTACGCCATTGACAGAGTATAATAAAACGCAGACTGTCATATCAACATCAATTCGTCATACATCGTCCACTATGTTGAGGAAGTTTCGAGCCCACCTAGTAGGGGTTTTCACAGTAGGGGAAAAAGCAGTAAAAGCACCTCAGTTAGTACTTAGTCTAGTAATTTCACAGTATACATACTTAAGGGTCTAGAATAACTACTTACGCTAACCTTAACTCACTTATTATAGCTATTAGCCTTATTAATAATAGCTTTATTACTAGTAAGGTTAATAGCTTTACTTATATAACTTACGCTATATAGAGATAGCTTTATAAGGTCTTTAGTTATAGAAAAGCTTATCTTAGCTATATACTTAAGATATTACTTATACTAAGCTTTAAGCTTATTCCTTACTCTATAAATAAACTACTTAGATTCCTATACCTTTATAATATATTTTATCCTACTTAATCTATAGGATCTTATACTATAAAGCTTTACTTAAAATATACCCTAAAAATACTAAGATTAATACTAACTATAAAGCTAAGTTTATAGTAATTAATAAAATAATACTTTTTAATATATAGAGCTTTAAGGACTAAATAGCTATAGCTAGGTTTTATTTTAAGGTGTTAGAAACTAACCTTAGTAATAATAATATAAAAGCTACTTATTTACTTTAGTAAAGCTTCTTACTTAATAATATAAATATATTTACTACTAATCTTAATATTTACGCTTATTTTAATAATATCCTTAGTAAGGTAGTATAGCTAGTAAGTTAACTAAGCTAACTATAATATTATAAGTATTATTAATAAATATAGATTATATATAGCATAAGTAGTAAAAAAGATAGCTAAGCTAATAGAGGGTATATATAAAGGTTAGTAGATAAGTGTTATAACCTATAAATAAGGATAATAGCTGAACGACCTACTTAGGCGTTAAGCGATTAGGATAGGATATTTATACTACTAGATTATAGGAATAGTAGGGACTTACTTAGGGACGGAAGAACTATAATATAAGTTATATAATAATAAGATAATAATTATATTAGATTAATATAATCTAATATAACTTAGGGGTTATATAATTATTTTAAATTAGAATAATTTAGAACGACCTAAAGTATAAAAGAATATATTTAGAATTAAATTTATATATAGTATAACCTTAAACTTAGCTTATAGTTAGATTTCTATAGTTATTTAGTAATTAACTTAGTATTTATCTTTAGGATACTTTTAGCTTATTTTTATTATAAATTACTTATTAAACTTAAGACTAATTATTTTAGCTTCTAAAGACCTAATTTATTATAGCTTATAATTTTTAATTTAGATTATAATTTAGTATATTATTAGAATATATTAATCTTTAGCTTCTATTAATAGACCTTATTATTAGAAAGCTAACTATAATATTTTAATTACTCTTATTTAATAAATTAACTATTAATTCTTACTAATAGTAATAAAATAATAATATCTTCTTATACTTTTATTAAGTTATTTACTTTTAGATTTTTATTTACTTCTAGAGGATAAACTACTTAGAACTTAGTTTAAAAACTAAGAGACTAGAAAATAAAAAATAACTTAGATAGTAAGGATAATACTAAAGAACTTAAATATTAGTTTAATAAAACTAATAATAACTTTAAAGTAATATATAAAATATTTAATTAGAATACTATAGTTCTTAATAAACTCTAGGAATAAGTTTATAAGAATTAGGACTTAGAAAAAGAAATTACTACTTTTTAAACTACTATTAATATTATTTTAGTTTTAATTAAAAAATAAGAATAATTTAAACTTAACTTCCCTATTATTTTTAATAGGATTTTAAGATAATTTAAAGGATATTTAGTTTAGATATAAACCTATTAAACCTTCTATATAAGTACTTTTTAAAATAAAACTAAATAAGTAGTATATATAGCTACTTTTTTTAGAGGATAAGTTTTAGCTTAGTTTAAACTTCTTTAATAGGAATAACTTAATAATTCTATTAAAAAATATAGCTAAAAAGTTAAAGATATTTTTTTTAGTTTTATAAGATATATTAAAGCTCTCTAATTACTTTTCTTAGAACTTAATAAGAAGAGATAAGCTAAGTATAACTTAGCTTATTTTAAATAAATTAAGTTTACTTCTCTTTATATAGCTAAGTTCTAAAGAATTACTTTTTAGCTTACTATAATTAATAAAAGTAAAGTTTTTACTTTTTATTAAGGATTTAAAAATAATATTAAAGATAAAATAGTTAAAGTTAATAAACTTCTTAGTTTTAAAGATTATATTAAATATACTATTAAAATTAATAATTAACTTTTTAAATACTATAAAGAAAAAAGAGAAAGAAAATTAAACCTTAATATAAGATATAAATATTAATAATAACCTTAATATAAGTTTAATAACTAATAGAATAATAATAAACTATATAATAACTAGAATAATACTTATTAAAATATTACTTATAAATACTATAGTAAACTTATAGATCTTAATATAATAACTAAACTTAATAATAAGAAACCTTAGAACCTTAAATATTATAACTATAATAAATAAAGATATATTATTAGAAATTATAAATAACTTAAGAAGCTCTTTTAAAAATTAATAGTAGAGTAATTTTAATAAGTTAATATAATTATAAAAGCTTTATATATATCTTAATTATAGACTAAATATTATAATAATAAATATTAAATCTACTTTAAAGATAAAGAAATATTAAAATACTATCTAAAAGATAGTAACTTTAAATAATCTAAATATAATATAACTATCCTTAATATTTATTTTAAGATTTTAGCTATAATATATTTTAGTAATAATAGAATTATTAAAAAACTAACTAAACTATTTAATAAAAAGCTATAAATCTAATAACTAAAGTTAGTTACTTTATATATAACTTCTTAATAACTCTATTATAAAGAATAATAAATCTAAAAAGAAATAGAAATAATTTAATAAGAGGATACTAAATAAGTATAATTATACTAATAAAAAGAGTTAGAAGAAGAATTAGAATATTAATATAATCTACTAATAGAATAATAACTTCTTAATATAACTAGTAATTAAACTTTTAGAGAAAATAAAAGTTTACTTTATAACTTAGATAAATTTTATAATATTACTTAATAATATACTTAAGTAGAGATTATTTATAGTTTTACTTTTAGTATAGATAACTTTAGCTTTAGAGAAGAATTTAATAACTAAGAAAATAAAATTAAGTAACTTTTAAAGTATTAAGAAATTAATATACTTTAAAATAAATAATAGTACTATTTTTATAGTACTTTAGTAGATTAATAAAACTAAGATTATACTTTCTAGCTATATATAGAAGATTATTCTACTTTATAAAATAGCTATTAATAATATTAAACTTTCTTTTAGCTTTAATATTTCTATAATAAATATAAAGAATATATAGGAGATAAATATAATTACTAATTCTATTTTAGAAGACTTAATAATAAACTTATTAAGAATATCTATAATATATATATTATAATTAAATAAATTATAATAGCTTTTAATAAAAGGATTACTACTTTTTAACTAAGTTTATAGTTCCTTATAAGATATTAATATAATAATAGTATAAAATAGGATAAATATTAATATAATAAATATTAAGTTTACTATTAAAATAAAGCTTATATATAGAGAATTATAAAAAATAAACTAAGACTTCTATAAGTTAAAATCTATAAAAATAGCTTTACTAAAGTAGTATAAAAAGGAAAATAAATTACTTATTTAGGATAATTAGAGTAGTTAAAAAACTAAACTTATTTATTAATAATAGATTATAATAAGTAATAAGGAAAAGATCTATTTATTAAATATTATAAAGATATAAAAAGAACTTAAAACTTAAAGTTATTATTAATAAATAAATAATATTTATACTAATTAATAATAAAACTAAAGTAAATTTTATTACTTTTTAAGCTATTAATAAGCTAAAAATATAATAGGGAGGAAAAAAATAACTATACTTTTTATATATAGTAGAAAGAGAAGAATTTAAGTATAAAAGAAGTACTATCTATAATAAGATTATATTTCTTAAAATAAGTTACTTAAATTAAAAAAAAAAAATCTAATTTAATATTACTAATATAAAGATATATAATATAGTATTAAGATTACTTTAGTTATAAATAAATAACTTATAGATAAATTAAAGTAAAAGCTAACTTTAGTAAGATTATAATAGTTTAATTATTAAGTAGCTTTATAGAAAGTAAACTTTAAATAAATTAATATAATAAAAAATAGTAAAATAGTATATTTATTACTTTAAAATAAAAAAAGCTATATTATAATAATTAATAATAGAGGATCTTAAGAATAATCTACTTTTATTTATCTTAGAAAAATATAAAGTTTATAAGAAACTTTTTATAACTAAATTAGAAACTAAACTACTTAAATATATAAGCTTTAACTATAAAATCCCTCTTAAAAAAAGAAAAGAACTATAATTTAATAAAATCTATAACCTTAATCTAATAGAAATAGAAGCTTTAAATAAATATTTTAAAGAAAATCTTAAGAAAAAATATATTAAACCCTTAATATTACTAATAAGAAGCTTAATTTTATTTATACTAAAGAAAAATAGAAAATTATAACTATATATTAATTATTATATATTTAATAAAATAATAGTTAAAAATTACTACTTATTACTACTTATTAATAAAATAAAGAGATTTTTCTATAGAATTAACTAATTTATAGCTTTTAACTTTAAAAAAGTTTATAACTTAATTAGAATAAAATAAAGAGAAGAATAAAAAATAGCTTTTAGGACTTAAAAAGGATATTTTAAATACTTTATTATATTTTTTAGTTTTATTAATACTTTTATAATATTCTAAAATATAATTAATTTAGTTTTATATAAATATATTAATATTTATATAGTTATCTATTTAGATAATATCCTTATATTCTTATTAATATTAAAAAAATATAAAG